CTCTCTCTCTCTCTCTCTCTCTCTCTCTCTCTCTCTCTCTCTCTCTCTCTCTCTCTCTCTCTCTCTCTCTCTCTCTCTCTCTCTCTCATGCTGCTGACCGGTGAAAGGCAGAGGCTTGAGCCGCTGATGCACTTCACGAATCCCGAAGAATGTGAAGACCAGGTATGGCTGGTGGCGAGCCACCATAGATATGGCACCAGGTGAGTGAACTCTACCTCACCTATCACTCCTTCTCTCTCCCCTACACCACTAGCCGCTGGTACACTGCAGGGACCCGAAGAAGAAGACGAAGACCAGCTATGGCTGGTAGCGAACCTCCATGGATATGGCACCAGGTGAATGGACTCCCCCACCTGATGTCTCTACCTCAATCTCTACCTCCTACAGGGCTACCTCTGGCTCCTCTAACGCTGCTCCACCAGCACTGAACTCCTCCAGCGGGCGGCCTGGTGGCACACAAATAAAGTGAGAACCTCCCTACAACTACTGGGCCGGCCTCTCCAAAATAGTGCTGGGCCGTCCTCACACTCAAGTCGGCCTCCATCTGGGCCGTATGATCTGAAAGTGAATCCGTGGTCCAAATTGGAGGCCGTGTGGCCAAAAGAACTCACGGCCCAGGCCCAAAACGTGTGGCCTGGGACTCCATGCTGGTCCAGGCCCTACCACGCTGCATCGGCAGCAAGGCCTGGAAGAAAGAAATGGCCTGACTTAAAAATAGGATCCAGGCCCAGCCTGAGAAATAGAAAATGAGAGTTCGGATGTGCCCCTTTGAACCTATAGAGTCTAAAGACTCTAAACCTGTTTATAGTAACTTGATACCCCCCAACCCCCTCCTGGGGGGATCACCTAGGTCTGCAGTTCTTTCCAGTACCCTGAAGCAGTTCCCCAGAGTAACAGTCTGCAGACTGTCCACCATGCTTGCAGTGCAACCCATGCACATAGAATTCATATGTGTGGCCGACTGCTCGCATAGGATTCGTTTGCTGCATGTGGTGTGTGTGCAAGGGGAGATCCTAAGAACAACAGGAATCAAAAGCTAATGAGAAAGAGGAACGTGACCTTTTTTTCCCCCGAAAATTTTCTGGTTTGGTGGCCTCGTTATCCCCAGTATCTGACCAACCATTGACTCAGGTTGCAAGTGTCCGGATATATAGCAGACGAGTGTGTGGGCACTTCCTGTTTGTTCAACCACACAAATGTGGGGGACCTTTCACCTGAAACAGAGTAACCAATGAGGGGAAAAACTGAAAAAGACAAGAAAAAAAATTCAGAAAAGAGAAAGGAAAGCAAAAGGGATTCAGGGAACGAAAAATAAAAAATAAACAGTCCCAATCTGCCTTGTCATTCGGCTTGCTTTCCACCCTCCCTATCCCTATTCTGCGATTTGTTCGGCATCTGTTTCGTGAGTGTGCTCGAGGTTCATTAATTATTTGTGACAAATTAAATAATGTTATAATTTGACATTGTTTGAATTCTGTATAGCGACTAAGTCCTGCTGGAAGCGAAGCCCCTTTCTTTCCAAGTTCTTGTTGGTCATGCCTCTATGATACTCTCTGGCGTAATGAGACCGAGGGAAAAAACAAGGAAAAGGCTATCCGGCAGTCAATCATCCGGAAAGGAATAATGAATGTTGCTCAGGGATCCCTCGGCCTTGACGGAAGGAAGTGTTTGTGAGTACCTGCAGTTTTTTTTTTTTTTTCTGACTTGCCAGTGCCTAGCTCAGTTGGTAACTTGGTGCACCCATGAACTGCTAAAATGCAGACCCAAGTTCGAATCCAGATACAATCAGATGACCAGAATACAATCATTCTGAATTACCTGGAGCAAGTCAGTTCAATGATGATATCTCAAGGCTGTTGCCCTTCAAGAAAAGAGAAAAAAAAGGAGCCGAACTGCTGCTCCGTTGAAGGGATATGGAGCCAGGCCCTGCTTTGAATACATCGTACAGTAAAGGGGGAGTTAAAAAGAAGAATGATAAAAATGAATGGTCTCAGTGTGCTCTTCATGTTTGCCATTGTGTATTCTATCGTTTGTTTCTACAAAAGCGCTCTTTTAGTTCATGGGTATGAAACTCCGACGAAACAGTTTGTCACAGCCCCTCGTTTGTTGTCCTCTTCTCTCTCTCTGCCTACGGTTTACCGGGCAGTTCTATTTGTGACGATATATACAGTCTGTAGAGTTTTCCATCTGGTGTGGGTGAGTGATAGTCTACTTTGATTTTGGTTAAGGTAGATTATCATTTACAGTGTAATCAGTGAGGGGATTCTGCAGACTGTTGAGGGTTCAGCCTCCTGATGAGTCGGTGAAACTCCGACGAAACAGTTTGTCACAACCCCTCGTTTGTTGTCCTCTTCTCTCTCTCTGCCTACGGTTTACCGTGCAGTTCTGTTTGTGACGATATATATATATATATTATATGTTATATCGAACTGTGAAAAATATCCAGCACAGGAAAAGTCAAAAGAGCGGTTTCAGAGTGCTTCATGGAGGCAGCTATTTTCTTTGTTTGTTTCGCAAAGTGCAGTCTTTTAGTCAATAGATATGTGACAGTGATATGCATATATGTATATAACGAGTTGGTGAGACTTGCGCAAAACAGTCTGTCACAGCCCCGAGTGTTTTGTCTTTTTCTCCCTTTCTGGCTCCGGGCATTTCTTTACGAGGTCTTAGAGGCTCGCCACACAGGCTGTCGAAAACCAGGTTTTCGACAATTTCGCATCGCCACACAGAGTTTCGAAGAATTGTGGCTCAAAAAACTTTTGACAGGTGTCAGAATGGTCCTTTCGACAGCCACGCTCCAGCAACCGTTTCCACCAGCCTAAAGGTAACGGAAATTCGACAGTGGCCCACCGACCTTTCAAAAATTGCGTTCGAATTTGCGTTGTCAGGGACTGTTCCGTCAACTTCCGTGAAACCCGTCCGCCTGGCCATGACCAAAAACCTTGCCCCTCGACAGCCTGTGTGGCGAAGGGAGGGGAAATTGTCGACCGCCCGACTGTCAAAAAATTTCTGACACCTGTCGAAAATTTTTGACATTCGACAGCCTGTGTGGCGAGCCTCTTATACATAAACATGTTGGCGAAACTCTGATGAAACAGTCTGTCACAGTCCCCTGTTTCTTGTCCCTTCCTATCTTTCTGCCTTCGGTTCATGAGGCATCTATGACTATAACATACATCGATATATATATTTTTTACCGTTTGTTTTGCAAAGTGCACTCTTTTAGTTCATAGATGCGTGACAACATACACACATATATGTTGTATATATACATGTACATGGTCAAACAGAACTGCCCGGTAAACCGTAGGCAGAGAGGGAGAAGAGGACAACAAACTAGGGGCTGTGACAAACTGTTTCAACGGAGTTTCACCGACTCATCAGGAGGCTGAACCCTCAACAGTCTGCAGAATCTCCTAACTGATTACACCGTAAGTGATAGTCCACCTTAACCCCGGTTGTAGTTAAGCATCAACGACTGCCCGATAACTGATACCCTGAGGTGGGCACCAACCACTGGCCTCAAGGTACCTGTGACGAAAATCAAAGCAGACCACTCACCCACACCAAATGGAAAACTCTACAGACTGTTGGTTCACACCCCATCAAAAGCCAGCAAACCCCCATGAAACAGAGAAAGGTCTATCACAGCCAGAAAATACACTCCAGACACGCCGCTGGCACTAGAGGCACAGCATGGCCGTGTAGTGACGGCCCCGACCACAGACGCTCAACCTGACCGGAGAAAACCGTAGCACGGTGCTATCGAAGTTGTGCTATATATCGTCAAACAGAACTGCCCGGTATATATCGTGGTTTGCCACACCAGTTTTTGGTGCACTGCACACTGCTCAGGCGAAACACACATATGATCTTCTCGGAAATCTCTGTGGGCGCTGCTCGCCGGATCAGATACATTAGCCTGTACTAAATAATAAATAATAAATATCCGTTCTGGGGAATCATTCCGGTTCCTATTCCACTGGCAAGTCAAGATACAAAATACAACACACACCGATGCTTCTCTTCTTTATGGTAGAGATACCCAGGTGGGCGGCGTTGATTACTTCCAAACTTGGAAGGATGTACCTCCCCTCACCCTTGCGTAGGTTCGCCTGCTGCTATCGGGTTGTTAGTCTTTAAGGACCACCTACTTCCCCCTTCCTGGCTTGCATGCTCCCGCATGCCTTCCCACTGGCCTCCCTTTCCCGTTCCCCTACCACTTCCTGGCATACATCTTCTAGAGCCCTCCGCTGACATCCCTTGTCGGATTTCGATTTTTCAGTGATTGCCCTAGGTATGCTTGAAAGTTGACGCGTTTGTTTCATTTCGTTTTGTGTCATGTTCCATCTTGCAGATGGGTGAGCGTGGCAGTGCAGAGCACACTACCTGCGACGAGCTCCGGACAACTTGTTTACGGTTTGTAATCCATCTTCTTCTCCCACCTGTCTCCTCTCGAAGCCAACTTCTTCTCCCACCTGTCTCCTAAAAAATCATCAAACGTTAATGACATCAACGAAGAGCTCTTCTGCGCTAACTAACCATTGTTATGAATGGGGGACTAGTTGGGATGTGTGTGTAGATAGGTATGTGACAATATTATATCTATATGCATATAATATATCGAATCATATTATAGATACATATATCGTCAAACAGAATATATCTATAAAAGTAAAGTTGAAGAAGAAGTCTGAGGAACACTGCCATTTCCGTTTTCTTATATATTTGTATTTGAAGAATACGGATGACAAAGCTAGTGCAAACGATGCAAACGTCCACTCAATCAGTCTCAGACTCTCAATGTTTATTCGTTTTTTTTTCGTCGATTTATGTGTGTCAACCTTGCTCAGGGGCCATGCTAATCTTCCTTCTCTGTATGGTTCCAATTTTAACAGATTTTCCGAAGGACAGTCTCAATGTTAATCCAAATTTTTGTTTTTCTTCAATTGCTCTGTTGCATTGGTGAGGAACAAAAGAGCAGGCTTTGCGAAACAAACAAAGAAAATCGCAGACAACATGAAGCACACTGAAACCGTTCTTTTGTTTTTTGTCTGTGCAGTTCTTTCTTGTCTTTTTTAATTGTTTTTTTTTTTTTTTTTTGTCAATGATTCTTTTCTTCCTCTTTTCCCTGTGCATCTTACATGTGCATGGGCCAAATCTTTCCTGGATTGTCCAAACTTCAGCAGATGTCCAAAACGACCCGTCTCCTGTCCTCTTCGTCATCTTCTATCCATATTCTGCTCCATTGAGAGTTGGTATCTCCATTAAATTCGATCAAGGGTGCATATGAGCTTTGATTTGGTCAAAAAAAAAAAAAAAAAAAGATTTGATTTTGCCAGGACCATAGACAATCATTACTGTCATGGATAGTCTGGTCCTCCTTGTCCCTCTCCTCTTTTCCCCCATCTTCTTTACAAGAAGAAAAAGTCTTAAGGTTTCCCTCCGCCATAAAGAAAAGAAAACTGGCAGAGCGAAACCTTCTCTTCTTGTGAAGAAAATGGAGGAAGAGAGGAGAGGGACAAGGAGGACCATACTCTCCATGGCAGTAATGATTGTCTATGGTCTTGGCCAAATCACAGCTCTTTCTTGTCTTTTTTAGAGTTTTTTTTTTTTTTTTTTTTTTTATAACATAAAGCAGAACCTTATGGTTCTGGCCCCTTTTCCATTCTGGGGGGCATCAGTCCGGTTCCTACTCCACCGGCAAGTTGACTGGAATACATGAAGGACTCACACACGCTCTTCCCCTTTATGGTAGGAAAGTCCGATGGCCGGCATTGATTACTTCTCACCGGAAGGATGTACCAGCCTCCACCCCTGCCTGAGTTAGCTTATTTACTTTAGTCTGGTGGCTAGCACCTATTGAATTGCTTGGAAAAGACACCTCTTCGCCTGTTCCTCTCAGTCCTTTGACTGTCTGATTCACGTTAGGTACTGGAACTG